GCACACAGACAGTTTTCTCCGGCCGACTTCCGACATCCACCGTCTCAATCGACATGGCCGCCACACACACATCGTCTACACATATTAAACTGACGACCGTCGGCCTCCCCCAGCCACACCTGCCTGAGAAGACCGCCTTCTCGCCGTTCGACTAACCCTGAAATTCGCAGTCTCCGCCGATCTAGTCGCCCATACCTGCGTGGCCTAGGACCGCTGCTCGTCGAGACGTCGTACATGAACTCCAACTCCGACCGCCGATGTGAACTCTCCCACGCGACAGGACCGCCACCGCTGGGCGGACAAAAAAATAAAATAAAATTGTTTGCAGGTGGTGTGAACGGCCGAGGTATGTTACCGGAGAGGGAACAAGCGCCTACGGCGCTGCGGATGGGCGGATGTCGGTCTCCGGCGCGGAGCCGCGGTTGGGTGGCTGAAAAACGGGTTTGAGTTTGAGGTCTTGCTTTTCGAAATTGGATAAGTTTCAGGGACTGATTTGCAATTTGAAGACTTTTAGTTAATTACAATTAAACCACAAGAGTCAATCTGCGAATTCAAACAATTGTAATAATGTTTAAATTTAGACTATGGGTCAAATCTTTAATTTATCAAAAATATCTAAAAACATATTATTTTGTACATTTTTTTATACACAATATATATAGTTATTGAGGATTTTAAAAGAAAAATCTATATAATAGAATAAATTAAAATATTAAATATATTTTTATAATATAAGTAATAAATTAATTCAATTACTCAAGTTAATTCAATTAACCTACAAAAAAATTATATTAATTATTAATTTATTATTTGTAATTGAATTAATAATATAAATAATAATTCAATTACTCAAGTTAATAATATTTAGCTAGCGTAATTGAATTAATTTAATATTATATATAAATAAATTATATCTAATAAATAAAGAAGTTATATTAATTGTTTAGCTTAATTCACTATACAATTATGTATAATAAACTAATTTTTCTAATACACATAATTTATATAAAAATATATAAATAATTGCACTTTATATAGCGGGATGTTGCACTTTATAAAACAATACGTTGCACCTAATAAAACAACACGTTGCACTTTATTGTCACATTCCACGATTAATTAGTGTCAACAACTCCTGCCAAAATATTACGCAATATAAATCTATAAAACAAATGAACATAATACTTTGATATTTATACATTATATATCCACAAAA